AAATTTTAAAAAAAAAAAAAAAAAAAAAAAAAAAACACAACAAGCGCAGCATATCTTGTAAAGAATGAAATCCTTTTTCCCTCCAGTAGCTTGAAAAAAGCCAAAACCGGAAACACGTTACACAACACGCGACTCCTTTCCATCGGAAATGCATCATGCGTTTGCCCTGCATGGAGTCCCATTGACTTCAAATGTTTTGGACTTTTGTGTAATCTGTTTCCCGAAAGAGGCTTTGAATGCTCACCATTCATTCCATGATTCAATTCCATGAATAAAGTTGTTTTGTTTGTTTGCTTGCCTCCGTGTTTGTTTCATGAAATGGCTTTGCTATGATGCTCTGCTACAATGCTATTTTTGTTGTTATTGGATATTTTCGCCGCTGGCACATTTGAAGACGTTGTCTGGTGACGATGACGAAGCCGGACGGAACTTAAGGTGCTGCTGTTTTGGTTAGTCGAGTGTCTATGACAAGTGGGCATCAATGCAGCCGCTAACTTGGTGTAATTAACATGACTAATCAGCGGGTTTGATTTCCATGTCCGGCCAAAGTTCAGAACAGCATTGACCAGTGACAGCATATCCGTTGATTTAGCCGTCGCCTCCTTTGGAGTCCCTGTTAATGACATCGCCACACACGCACACTCGCTCTCTGTGTGTACGCATGTGACACACACACATTCAGCCTTTGGTGTCTGCAGACTGGTTCAATATTCCGGCTGGTAATTTATGCAGAAGTAATTCGTCACAGGAACAGAGCGAGAATGTAGAAGAAAGAAGTGGAGGGGGGTGGGTGGGGGGGCTGGAAGAAGAAGAAGCGACGTGAAAATGGTGCAAATAATCACCGTGGTGTCACCGTGGCAACATTGTTGGAAGTTGATTGTCGATAAAGTCTCGAGCGATTGCGATCCATTTCAATTTCTCACATGGTCAGGAAAGGGGAAGCGGAGTGTTCACTGCTCTTTATGTTTTTGCATTTATTTTGTTAGCTTCAGCCAGCTGCAGGCAAGCCGTGGCCCCACAGCCACACGTGGCTCTTGTAATATGTAATTTCACTCTCGGCCACTAGACGGCAGAAGTATTTGAGCCTACCGTACTTTATTGCTGAAATTAATGAAATGTCAGTTCCCTTCTGTCCTGCTTTTGACACCTACAGAAAGTGTCGGTTCATTTTATAACGCACATCTCTGTGCGTGATTATTCATGTATGTTCTGAGATGATAACTTAAGGTTGTTAGTTCAGAAAAATGGAATTTGTTACTTGTGAACACTGGTCCACTGTACCACTGATTGTTTTCTTGCTCGCTCTCACGATACGATGTGACAATTATTTTGTTCTTTGACTGCTTCACTATATGATGAATGATGGTGCCATCCTAAAATGCATTAAGAACATATGTAGATGGCTCCCACTATATCCACATATGTGCTTTCGTCAAGGTGAAAAAAAAACATGGCCGATTGTGGCTGAAATAGTGAAGAATAATGTTCTCATCCGGCATATATCTCATTATTTGCGCATGTCTGTCATTCTTATTAAAGCCGCGTATTTTAACGCGCTAATGGTGATGCGCGGACGTGTCTGAGCATGTGGACTGGACCTCACTCCGGAGAACCGCATGAATAATTGATCCAGAATGTATTATCATGCCGACCAAGGCTTCGTCGTCTTCTTTTCTTTTTTTGTTATTGTCGGATTCCTGTGCACATTCGTCCTTGCATAAATGAGCTAACTCCCTCCACGGGTAGATTTGCATAGAAAACTCCTGCAACGCGGCGTTGGAAAAGGAGCAATTAGGATTCGAGACGGCTGGTCGTCCGAGGCTGCTCGGCTGTCACGTGAGACGGAAGCAGCTGATTGATATGGAGGAGCGTGGCCTTCCTCTCCAGGCGTTGTCTAGCGCCAGGTGGGTAGGGGGGCGGGATGGACAAAGTGCACCCTCAGCCGCATTCCGTCATGTCCGTTTCGTGCTTCTGAGTTCGTGGCTAACAGCGAGTTGACATAAAGGTCCAGCGGCCATTCGAGGACCGCAACCTTCCAAGAGCCCGGCCAACCTCGGCAATCGTCGCCTCACCGTGCGAGGTGGCTAAGTGCTAGCGTTACAATTCCAACAGATACTAGAAGGTCTCATAAAAGTTGTGCTGTTCGTCTACCAGCAGCAAAGGAGTTTTTTGCACTTCTGGTAGGAGGGAGATTTTGCCCACCTGATGTCACAATGCTAGCTAACGTAAGTGCATGACAAATGTAACAGAAATTGGCAGGTTTCGCACAAGTCACATTTCGACCAAAAGTAGCAGCAAATTAACCAAGTCCGTCGTCATTTTGCGACAAAATGCTTTTGGTGCGGGGGAGCATTTAAATGAAATGCAACAAATATTACAGGACTGATCAGAACGCTCCCCCAAAACAGTTCAACAACACTTAATATTAGCATTGTTGTAGCACCCGCGACTCTGATTGAGGCGCTATGTTTACTGTGTCATTATGAACAACAGGTGGCGCTAGATCTCCAGTGAGCAGGCCTGATGGAGTCACGCCTGTCAGCTGCAAGAGAGGTAACACATTTTTCCACTCTTGCAAACACGCACAGACACACACACACACACACACACACAGCAATCCCGTCGTTGAAGCTCGACCCTCTTCACCTCAACCCCCTCCCCTCAACCCCCTTGCGGAACAAGGAGGGATTATGTCTAAGCGATTGAATTGTACGAGTGGAATTAATGAACTCTTGCTTTTATCTCTTCATTAACCGCTGAAAAATATTGATTTAATCCTGACATATCGTTCATTTTCCACGCGTGGTCCATTATGACCAGGGGCAAATGATTTACTGCAAATCTTTTCAAAATGTTTTGGCGGCCCGTTTGCCATAAACAAATGGACAGTTATTCCTTGAATCAATGCTTATGTTATAGTCGACCTGGCTTCCGTGTATTATGATTAAACCATGGGTGGCGCATTCCCCTCACAGCGCAATCTTGCTACATGGCGTCAACCCGCAGCCCCCCCCCCCACCCCCTCCACTCCTCCAGACCTATTAGCATATTTATCATCAGCCTCACAGACTTCAAAGTCAGCATTTGCTTCTCGGAGAGACAGGAGGGGTGCACATTTGGGGGTGGAGGGGGTGTTCAGGAAGCCGGCACAGATTGCAAAGGTGGTCCCCGGGGATCAAGTATTCCGTTTAGGTGGTGGGTGGGAAGAGGGAGCTGCCTTGGTTTATTTTCCCTGCTGATGATGTCTTCAGCAGTGCTTTTCAATATTTGCTGGGTCCTAGCAGCCATGTTTTGCCGCGAACGGAGGGCTCACTCGCGTATCGTCACTCCCTCGTGTGCTTAAAAAAAAAATGGATCGCCAAATGTATAAATATGAAATACAAGTATAAAACTTGAGCTAAAAATAGTACAACACACAAGTGCCAGATATTATTACAGCGATGTCAACGTGATCTCTTGCGATATTGTGGTCACCGCTGACAGGAAGTGTTGCTGTAATGCTCGCTCAAGGCCCGTTTTGTTTTGATCCCCGCTAATGTTCCCTGACACGCGCCGTGAACCACCAGCGTGTCCACGGCGTTCTTTCCCCTCTTCCAACATGACTTCTTTTTCTCCCTTTTCAAATATACTGTACATCCTCTTCTAATCGGAGCGTTGGAATCATGAACATGCCCCCCCCTCCCCCAATTAACATGGAGGAGGTGTCTTCCTACAAGCGTACGACGCCACCGCGTGTCATGTGAAGCCGATGCTAATGAAGCTTGCGGCAACATGCGGGAGGTTGAATATCAATGTCATCGCAGCCTCCCCGTCGGCGCTTCTTCGTCTTTGCCGGGGAGATGACGCCAGGCAAAGCGCATTTAGTGATGCTCGCGCTGTCACTTCTTCTCAGGGCTGCTGAGCTCACAAACAAAATGTGGCCATGGTGGCACCTGCCTGCTGGCCACAGCCAAGGCAACGGCACATGAAATGGACGCAAGGCCGCTGACCTGAATAGGAAAAAAAAAAAAATCACACAAATAAGGACGCTTGGCAATCAGCTCTGGAAAACAACAATACAAAGTCATCCTAATAAGAAGAACAATCAGGTGGATAATAATAATAATATTAGTCGACAACAATATGTAGATAGATAGATAAGGTGCTACATGCGGTCTCTCGAATGTCAAGGCGCCTCTGCACATTTTTGTAACCAAAAGTGAGGTCGCCCTCAGCGTGAATTTTTTTAAGCATAAAGAATACAAAATTTAAGGGGGGGTGCATTCAGTATATTTGACACAGGCTCTTTTTTTGCCCCGCTGGTGTTGCCTCTCTCGTGCAGACGTGTAAAATGTCTCCTTGACGTAAAAAAAAAAAAAAAAAAAGATACTCCAAAATAAACTTAAAACGGCGTCGTCTTGTATGCAGTTGCTCGTTTGATCCCCTGAAGTTGACTGCCATGGAGCACCTCTGAGCATCTTCGACATATTTCGGATGCGGGAGGTGGGGGCGATCTAAAGAAGCCAACATCCTCCACCCTCGTCTTTTCACGTTAGTGGTGCGAGTGTATTTCGAAGAAAATCTCAGAATGACAAGAGTCTGCGTGTGAAGCTGCCAAGTGGACTGTAGGTGTCAGTGTCCACCCCGGCCGGGGGCACTCAGCTCTCCGGTGAGGTGGGATGTTGCCAGTGTGCGTATTTGTGCACATTGTCTGCGGCCTGGCAGCAAAAGGTGACATCTGGTGACTCGTGCGCTCACATGTGAATACCGCGCCGCTCCCTGCGTTGTGCGGGCAGCAGCTGCTCCGCAAAGGCCCAAATGAGACGGGAGGAGCGAGGGAGGCAAGGTGGGGGGTTGAGTGAGGGAGGGAGGCAGCGGGCGGGCGTTTGCCAGCCTCAGCCTGAGCTGCGTGGGGGCAGGGGGGGACGTCACAGCAAAATCAATGGCTTGCTGTCTGATTCCTCTCGAGGAGGTGGGACGCGCTGGTCTCCTCGTGCGAGCCCGCGCGACCCCCGCCGGCTTCCATTTTGGGTCCCTCCCACTTTGAGTCACATCATCCTCGCCAGTGTTTGAGCAGGGGTGGGATGTAACTGAGTACAAATACTTGGTTACTGTACGCAAGTCGTTCGGGAAGTGCAACTATGTAGTTGCTCTCCTTAAGTGGTTCCATACAAGCTTAATGTGCTTAAGTAGCTTGCGGAAGTAATCTATTACAAATATCCTTTTTACCGTATGAGGTTAGGGGAGATAAGCGGCGACAAATACACGGTGACTGCACAGCTTCAGAAAACAGGCGAGAGCCGTGATCGGTCGTTTCCTGTGATGTCATTTTCCGTTGACAGCCCGTGGCAAAATGGCCGCCCTCTGAGATGGCTACAAAGGGCGGCGCTTTGCGGCTCATCTCCTCTTCCGCAACGGCAAGATTCATCAGAATGCCGCGTTTAGTGGAGGCGCATGGAACATCCAGCTGTCACCATTTTTGGGCCGACTCAAAACTCAGCTCAAAATCAATCTTGTCATCTTTGCAAAAGCGATCATTGCGCAGTGCAAAAAATATTGTTGATGTTTTTGTTTGTACTTTGCTGTCTATTTTTCAGGCAACTTTTATTTTATTTTTTTTCACTCTCTAGCTTTCTACTCATGACTTCCAAATCTCAAAATAGGCTTGCTACCCCCCCCCCTCCAAAATCCACACGTACATGTTATCTAGGACAGGAAGATGCATTTATTTTCAAATGTGATTCGGGGAAAAGGAATGAACGAATGATTCCGTATCCTTCCCTATGCAGCGGGCGGACGCCATCGCGGGCTCATCAGTCAAACGGTTGGTCGGCTTGACTTCTCTCTGTTGACATCTTGAAGTAGACTCGTGACATATTTGTACTCGCTTACTCGCCGCCGCCGCTGAACAAACAAGCTTAGCGGGTCAACGCTTGCCGCAGATGAACGTGGGCGAGAAACGAGCGCGCCGCCATCCGCCGATGAAACACGTGCCGCTCCGGGACGCTTGAGCCTCGCTTTGCCAGACGTGGCCGTGGGCTGCTTTCCATTAAGCGGGGTGGCGGCGATCAAAAAGAACAAGAAGAAGAAGAAGAAGGAGGAGGAGGAGGAAACGTGCATATGCATTCCGTAAAGAATGTTCATGAAACACATTCCTTCTGGATTTTCATGGAAGGGATGGGGGAGAAAAATGGGAACCCCTCGTCCCCCTTTTTTCTATTTTTCCCCTCCTTTGGAAGGGATGATTCTTCTGCCAGGGAAGAGTGTGTAAAAGGAATAAATATGAACACAATCGAGTTCCGCTTTGACACCTGTGATCGAGCCGACCGCTCTGTGCCGGGAAAATATCGATGACGTCATCGGTGAATTGACTTTAATTAGGATATAAAACAAATTGAATTATTACAAATTGCAAAATCACTGAAATTGCCACCAAAGTATTGGTGTGGGGAGTTACTGACCCCATGTTACGTCCTCGCCGTTGCATAGGTACCAAATCTTGCAGGAAGCCAAAAGACGCATCTCGTTCGCCGGTTAATATTTTTCAAGTTGCCGATGATGGTGTTTACCTCTGAGATGTAAAGACTCAAAAAAAAAAAAAAAAAAAGTAATAAATTGCGCTTTTGCTCTCAGACAGCTGGGAGCCATTTTGGCTTGAAACCGGATCCCCTCCAGAGTCCGCCGTGAGGCCTCGCAGCACCGCCGACTTATCAACTCACAGTATGACTCCAGCGTTCCTTCGCCAGTGGCAAACTTGTGTGGCCGCTCGCAACAAATTTGACAAATAGTTTGGCTTCAACAGTCGCAGTGACGGATGGAACCGGTTTGATCAAATGTAATTACTGTCCATACCGGGGCGTTGGCTTAGCCGGTAGTCTCTGTTGTGGCTCACGGCCGTGCCTTGCGAGTGTCTTCATTTTGCGTTGGTGCAATTGTTTGTCCCCCCCCGTTCCAAGCTGAGAATTCCGACAATTGCGCTCCGTGATGAATTGCTGATGAAAATACAGGGCCGCAAGTGAAAGCGTTTTTACCGTCAAGACAACGGGGCCGCCGCAACCTTCCGGAGCTCGCGGGCCCCTCGCTAACTCCTGTGCCGCCGACAGCAAATCGTTATCCGGCTAAAGGGGACGAGCGGCGTCGGATAATAGATATATGAAATCCATCTGGCTTTTGCGCCCGCTCCGTCCTTTGTCGGAAACGGATCAATGGGCCCTGCCTCTCTCCTTGAAAAGTCCACTCTGCGGAAAAAAAAAAAGCCCATCGCTATGGCAACGTGCCGAAGTAACCGAGGGGAAAATAAACACGCTCGGCTGGAAGATGAGCAAAGTGCCACCTGGCATACTCTACCGGTTCCGTATGGATGGCACTTTTTGTGTATTTGGGAACCAGCAAAAACGGCCGTGGTAGTTTTTTTTTAACGTAATGATGATGAATGTGAACTGCTTTGACCGGATGTTTTGGACAGCCGTAAGAGCCAAAATGACAACAAAACTGACGGCCGTCGTCAGTTAACGTATGAATGAAGCACGATCATGCGGGCCTCTTGTTTGTCACGTTCCTTTGCAAAAGTCGAAGAAATATTGATGCCCGCAACTTCCCACCTTGCGCTTCCTCTTTTTGTGTCTAAATATTCAGTTGCGCTTCCCCCCCGCCCCCCTAAAGTCGCGCTTTGGCTTTTGTTTCGAGCCGACAGGCCAGGCGTCTGCGCTCGAGGGAACGCCAGAACTTTTGCCGTCCGTCAAAGCAGTTTGTCGCTGTCACGAGCGCGCCGCTGTGTCATCAAGTATGCTGCACCTCTGTGGAAAGTCATAAATCAAACGCAGTCGTGGCGGGGTGGCAAGATGACTCATTGTTGCATTACATCTTTGCGCGCTCGTCTGTTGTGCGGTCGAGTGTCACGGGAAGAAGTCACTCAGGTGATCTTAGTAAAAGTGGATATCGCTTTAAAAAAAAAAAAAATTGCCTTCATGCCCGCTAGCTTATTGCGAACACATCATGAGAAAGGCCATACAAAGACAAATGGTGGAGCAACACATGTAGACCAGTCACAACTATCCTCGCAGGCATGTATTCTTTATCCTCCGCAAAGAGCGATTAGTGCACCTTCATCACGAGGAGCTAAGACTAGCCGCCTACTAGCTTATTGCGAACACATCATGAGAAAGGCCATAGATGGGCGAACGACCAGCATTAGTGTTGCAGTGTTGTATCCCTTGAAGTAACGGATATTCAAACACAAATGGTGGAGCAACACATGTAGAGCAGTCACAACTCTACTCGCAGGCATGTATTCTTTATCCTCCGCGAAGAGTCATTGCTATTACTGCACCTTCGTCACGAGGAGCTAAGACTAGCCGCCTGTACAATATATCCGTATGTCAACATTGCACTGCCCTCAGGAGGCTGCGTTTATAAGCAGCAGAACGTCAACACTGGTAAATCTTTTTTTTTTGCTGTCAAATGTCAAACCGGTTGAAATTTGAGCTGAACAGCATGTAAGGGTTAAGAAAGATCTGATATTAAGATGGCATTTCTTCTTTTTAAAGGGTGAGGAAGCCATCTGGGAAGATATCAATTGTGCCTTTACTAAAATGTCATTGCACGGTTTGCACGCACGTGAAGAATTCTTCTTCTCTCTCTTTGTTTCTTTTTTTTCTTTTTTTTTTTCCCCTCTCACCGCTGGTCTCATTAAATGTAATAACGCTGCGCCGGTAATAAAAAGTTCACATTTGCAACAAGAGTAAATCACCCGGCTGACAAACAGAGTTTGGCTTTGAGCGTAATTGACTTTCTTTCCACTTGGCGCCGTAATGGGGCTGGAAATAGCTTGTTAACCTCCTGTCAGGTAAAGCAGAAAAGACGGAAAAACACATTTATTCACACCGCCGCCGCCATATTTCCCCAACCCCGCCGGCGGGCTTTTATTCAGCGAGACGCCGACTGTGAGGTGCCTTGCGGAAAGGCAAATATACAACATCAGCAATTGGACGAGTCGGAGAAAACGTCTGTAAAGTTCAAATCCAATTTAGTCCGGCGGAGCAACAAATTGCACACTCTGGTGGTTGATCGTTCAAGTACCCGATTACAACACGGAACAGATGCACACTGGACTGAGGCGGGCAATTTAGAGTCTTCAATGAAGCTAACTTTTTGAAATGCGACTGGCTTAATGCTCTGACATGATGGAAAAAGCCATAGACGGGCTAACGTATCGCATTGATGTGCCAAGTGTGGTAACATTTTCAGCAATGGATATTTAAAGTCGGCGCATCAGCACATGTAGACAGTCAATGTCACAGTACATAGATATGTATTCTTTATCCTCTGCAAAGAATGAGGAATATGACTGCCGTTTAGTGAGAAGCTTTGACTGCATCGCAAATAAATGTGGCAAGTTTGGATTCTTTACGGCCTATTTAATTATTTGTTCCTGATATTTGCATTCACTGAATAATAACGATTATTTCTATATTCATTGCTGAATGCAGGCTTTGGGAGGCTAATCGTCGAGCGAGGATGCTTTACAAGAAGCACACCCGCGCTGGCTGAAATCAATGCTTCCTGTCACCTTTTAGCAGGACAAATGGCATCTATTGTCCCGGGCCTTTTCCCTCCCCCTAACTTTAGACAGCTGGGGTAGACACACAGGCCAAAGGGAGGGGGGGAGAAGGGGGGGGGTGGTCTCAAACACACAAGTCTAGTCAGCCCCCCCCCCCCCCCCCAATTCTCCTTCCATCCCTAATTTAAAGTCAATGACGGCAACACAGGCTGGTTTGTCACTTTTGATTGGCTGTAAAGGGGCCACAGTGGGTCAATGTGAGGGAGTTGTGGGGGGACGGGGGGGGGGGTCTTACAAGTCACAAAGTACAGCGGTTGACCGACTGAATTTTTTTTTTTGTTTTTCTTGTCGACAATAATGTCCAGTCAATTGATCGATGACGTGATGCCGCCCGTCGTGATTCAGGAGTGTCCGGAACGAGCGTCGGCCCGCTTTCATGGAGGTGTGCAGAAGTCGCAAAAAAGATTTGCTGCGGAGAGGCTAAGTTTGCGAGGTTTTGCCCCAATTGAAGTGAAACAAGGTCTCTAAACGAGGAATTGACTCTCAGAAACAATTAGTGATTAATCTGAGGTCGGCTCGAAAGGGGAGCGCTTGGTTTCATTTGATCGCCAAAATGCGGCTTTTCAGTTGAGCCAACTTGTTGAGGTCGTTATTTAACCCAAGAACTCGGGGTTAAGATTACAAGTTCCAATTTGTGATTTCACCCAACTCGGTAGTCGGTCCCTTCTTGACCCACTAAATGGGTTCCGGTGAACCCAAAGCGTGTTTATTTTCCATCCGAGTGTAAGAGTCGCCACCTCTGTGGGTGTGATGCTGCTTGGCACAGTCATGGCTGCCTCTGCTGCTGATGCCTGTGCAGTGTGCTGCTCTCAAACATGTCTTTGTTATTCAGAGCTTTCCATCAGGGAGCGGCCGCCCGCAAAACATGGAGGCTGGATGACCCCGAGGGGCGGATATGAGGGGGGGCAGGCACAGCCGAGGGAGGCGGTGAGGGTGTGCAGCAATGCCGTGTTTGCTGCCTGTCAGGCATGACATGGATTTGTTTGATTTGATTTTTTTTTCCATGTAACATAGATATAATCATTCCAATTTTAGAGCTTATTTTCTGCCCTCCCCCCCACCCGTGTAATACATAACTGATCAAACATGTTTGAAATGAATTGTCCAAGTGTTTTGTCTGATACGAGACCCGTTTTGCTGCCGTAATCGTGCACTAAAGTTGTCTTTGAACCGCCACACAGCCCCGTGACTGAAACCTGTTGGGATGTCGGGAGGAAGAGAACAAAAGTGAGGCTCATGACTCATCAGAATGGACAACATCAAGTTAATTGCTCTGACGATGAGTAGACTTGAGCGACGGTAAGTCTATTTTTCATATTTGTTTCGGTGTTTTGTGTATTTTATCGTATGGGTCATTTTTACATAATTTGGTGAGTAATCGAAAAGACAGGTGTATTTCTTTCCCATTGTTTTTGTCAATGCAAAATCTCTGTCGCATCCTGGCATCACTCTGGTGTATGACGGTGACATCTTGAGGCCCCTCTCCAGTGGCATTAATGGTAAAGACAGCTTAAGTGACAAAGAAGGTCACTTTTTCGCCCCCCCAAAAAGTGAACTCGATGTAGTGGACAAACATCGCAATTAAATCATACGTCACGGTACTTGACAGCATTTACTGTTTCTTGAGTAATTAGGAATATGTTGATGTTTCATGGTCAAAACTCCAGCCAAATATGGTCATTAGAGAAAAGAGTAAAATTGCCAATCGTAATCACACGTTGTGTATTCAAAACAACTAAATAGCTTCAGCTAACGAGTCAATTTAGCTTCATCCTAACAAAACAATACACAATGATTCATACGTGCTAGCAAAGCAATAGAGATTTGAAAAAAAAAGGGAGTAGTACATGGACGGATAAAATTCAGTTGGCCAACCAACAGGCATGTATTGTTTATCCTCCGTGAAGAACACCTCATATTAGTGCAGTTGACAGGCACACTCACCATTTGGAGTGGCACAATCTCCATTGAAATGCCATAAATATGGTTTCATTTTTTTTACATTCCACTGAGTTACGTAATAGCAGCGTGTGTTTGTAAAGTATGACATGACAGAGCGCTATTTTTCCTCCATTTATGATCCGAGCCGCCTATCGGTCGGTTCGCGAGCGCCCAGCGGGGCACATCTCGAGCACCAAAATCCGGGCCGGGTTTTGCGCTCAGCCGCGGCGCTCCAGTCCCAGTGGTAATAGAATAGCCGATGTAATTTGACACTTCAACTCGCTGAGCTCCGCCGGAGTCTCCCCACTCTGCTCGCGGCTGACGTTGAGCCGTTGGCGGGGACACGATTGACAAACAAGAGGCGACAATCGGCGAGGACTTTGTCTGCTTCCCCCGCCGGTGAGTAGCCACCAACTCAGCCGCCGCTCGCCGCAGCCGAGGCGGCCGCGTGGCTCGCTCGTCCCGAGTTGCTTTTTGCCTTGTTTTGTCCTCGCCACTCGGGCTCAGATTGTTTCCGACCTCTAACAAAAGGAGAGTCACCGGCACGGAGGTGGAAACACCTCCGCTCTCGTGGCGCTCGCTTCCGCCGGGATCCGCGGCGCTCGCCGCCGGGGGAAGGGAGGCATTTGCTCGCCTTAGCCGCGGTTGGTGCTCCGAGCTCCGGCTTGGAGGCTCGACCGGGGATGGCTTGCGTGCATCCGGCGCGATTCATCTCTCACGCCGCGGTGTGCAAAACAACTCCGTGCCGTTTTGCTATGGTATTTATTTTGTATTTCTTGTTCAGAGCACCGACCTTTTGTTTCATTGTTGTGCGCTATTGAGCTGATGCGTGCACGCTGCAGGATGAGTGGAAAAGCTCAATAGTGGTCACCGCAGTGCACGATTTACACTGCAATTGAATGCTTCTTTCCCAATTTGGCAGCAGCGGAGAGTTATGATACGCACGAGGGCGTGCAGGGCACTGTTGGTTCTACGCTTCATTCTAAGTACATTGTTTCTTATGAAGGGTTGTCACTCAGTGTCCTTTACTGCACATCTGCATGCACTGCTGGGAGAAGCGAGTGACTCCCAGACAGGTGGCACACATTTGCAGACATTTTGCTTTGTTTTTGTTGTTGTGTGCTGAATGATGCCGCATCCAGAAAATTGCTACTGCTGCTGCTGCTGCTGCTGCTGCTGCTACTGGCGGTGGTGTTCTTCCTTGTTTACATTTGTGTCATGTCACCCCTGGCATGGCTTCTGATTTGTGCACCTGGCCTTGACTGGTGGCAACAGTCAAACATCCAGTGGCTTCATGATCGTAATAAATAACATGGGGCGCCACTAGCCGTTTTTTTTGCGGGGCTCCTTACTAACCCGCGGGGGCCGAGCCCACCGAGCCTGACCTTCTTCCATTCATGTCAAGCGTGTGGAAACGCCAGCCAGCCAGCCAGCCAGGCAGGCAGGCAGCCGTCACACAAAAGGCACATTGAGGCGCCGATCTGCAACGCAGCACGTGCGTCTGGCCCACCACTATTTATTAACTCCTTGACTTCCTGCCCCGCTATTGGGAAGTGTTAGTAGTGTGGAGCACTGGAACTTCCCCAAATTTTGGACTTGTCTTTCAAGACCCACACAATATTGTGTCCTTTGACGATATAAATCTACCAAGTGGAAAAGTAGACTTTTTTTATTTTTTTAGTTTGAATCTCATTCCAGTCTTTAGTAAACGACAGTCGAACGTGGGTTACTTTTGACAAAAACACTGGTTTTAGAACAAAAAGTGGAGAAAACAATTTCAAATGGATCATTGACTTGTGTAGCTGTCAGTGGCAATAACTGAGTCCACGTTGCACCTCAAATTCATTTGAATTTAGAATAGAATACCTGAAATGGAGATTATTAGCTTGACCTTGAAACTGGGAGGAAAAAAAAATCATTTTAGTAAATGTGAAAAAAAATGGAGGCTTCAAATAATACATTTTAAAATCTTGATTTGGGCAGTAGTTGTTCTTTATTTTTATTGAAGGGAGATACAAAAAAAAAAAAAAAAAAGAAGTTGGCGGGGGTCAGAAAACATTCAAAAGCAAACGCAATGAATGCTCCCCGAGAGATTTTTGAGGCACAAATGTTTTGTTTTGGATCTTTACGTCATCTTCGTCGATTTCGTCCTGGGAATTCCACTTGGACCTCTTCTTCAGCTCTCCTTTTAGGCAAAAAAAACCTCCATCGGTCTGCGGTGGAGCTTGTGGGAGGTTTGCGAAGCTTCTCGTCTCTTGGGATGAATCACGCGGTCGGGCGGAGGACGCCGTCTGGAGCTGCTTCCAAAAAAGCAACCCCCCACCCCCCCACCCCCAAAAGAAAAAAAACACGACAGGAGAAGCTCTTCAGTCTGGACGTACCGCCTTCCGGAATTTTCTCGGCTGATTACATTCAGCACGTGTTGATATTTAGCTGCAAAAACAAAGTGTCTGAAGATGTTGCCTTCAGGTGCCAAGTTGATCAGTGGGAAATCCGATTAGCTCCCGTGACCTGTTTGATGGACTGTTTTTGTCTTAGATTGATGGCGTGTGCGCGCGTGTGCTCGTGTGTGTGTTCCGTGACACACGAGGCATTCTTACAATGATTGCCAAGAGGCTTAATGACAGTTAAAAATGTTGTTCATGTGATTGATGCGTGATAGCGAGAGATTGGCAGCGATGCGGTGACGGGGAAAAGTAACTCAGATTCATCTCTTGGCACTTTGTGGTCACGTGACTGCAGTTTCTCGTGTGATTCATGAGCAAGTCGATGACTTTGTGCTCAGGTGGTTCCAAGCGTGGAGTCGGAAGTTAAAGACCGGATTGCGTCTTGTTTGTTGACCAAACAACCAGCGGATTAATTGTTGTGATTTATCGGACACCACGTCAATGTTTCATGGCGAGGTGCTCAAAGTGGAGGCCGTCCAAGGGACTTTCTTAGCATCTGGTCAATCATTAGTCAGCAGTGGCGAGAAAATAACACTCAAGTTCAAAGTGGACACTGAGGTATTTTTGCCACTTTTTTTTTTTCATTGATGAATCAACGCAAACATTTGCTCATCAGGTTGAAAGAATTGTTTTTGGGCTTGTTTTGTAACGACACAACCACGTCGTCGTGATTGTCATTTGTCACTTGACTTTAAAGTGAGCCTCAAATTTTTAAGGCATTTTTGACACATTTTACACTTTGTGTGTGTGTGTGTGTGTGTGTGTGTGTGTGTGTGTGTGTGTGTGTGTGATTGATGGATAGAGTCATTAATTCCACTTGTCAACCAAGATTCTTTTTTTTTGGGGTGGGGGGGGGTCCTTCGCGACTACTTCTCGGCGTCGAACATGAAACAGGTGATTGCAAACGTTCGCCGTCATCTTGAAGTGATTGTGAGCTTTGTCGTCAAAACTCTTGAAGATTTCACGGGTAATATGTCAGCGTCTGAATAGGAATCCTTACAGTCAGAGGGGGAAAGTGCGTCTTCTTTGCTGGTGATTTATCTCCCGACGGCCGAGGATACAGCTTGCATGTGTCAGTGCATGTCGGGCATGTGTGCGCTTTTGCGGTGATTTGTACCCCCCTGTTCCTTGGTCCCCCTCCCCCCGCCTGGCGTTTTTTTTTTTTTT